TATGTGCAATTGCTTGGCAAAATCCCACGTGCTTGGAAATAAAACTTTGCTTCTGCTTCATTTCTCCACAAATCCAGTAACCACTTGATCCAAAATTCAATAAAAATTAATACAAATGTAATTTTCTAAGAAGGAAAAGAATTGCCAGAAGATTACACAAAGCAGATCTGCACTTGCTCTAATTAGTTCGAATATTTCAATGAAATAACAAAATAAGTCATTCCCACCCTTCCTTGGTCTAGAGACAGAGACAAAATTAATAGCATCATCAAATGAGGAAAAAAAGAAAAAAAAAACTGCATCTTTCCAGAGAAATTCAAAAGAGCTTTTTAGAGTTATTGGAATGCTTGCAGAAAAGTTGAGTCTGGATGGTATTACTGGCTGTGTATTAACAGGGTTTGTTAATAAACAAGTGCTTACAAATTTTCTTGTATTTTTGTTTAAAAATCATTATCACACTTTTATTAAGCAGTTATTCCAAAATCAGGGTTCGTACGGTCCTTAAAAGTCCTTAAAAAGTCCTTAATTTTTTCAAAAATGAATAAACTGTCCTTAATTTTGCTCATTTGACATTTCTTATCATTTCTAATGATTGCCATTCTAAGTGTGAATTACGATTTCTCATGAATATGGAATTAAAATTACACGGCTCTTAACCAATCTGTTGGCGGATTTGCATTGCAAATGATAAAAAAAAAAAAATAAAAAAAAAATATTAGCTACCCAAATGAAAGTATCGGTGTCTGATTGGCTATTCACCCATCTGTTTTCGAAACAGGTGTTATCCATAAATTTAGGCAGATTGTGACAAAAGCATGAAGTTCTTTAAGAGGCGAGAAAGTGATGATGAAGGTGCTCGAAGAAAAAAAAGGGTGGGGGATTCTGAAAATATTTGCCAAAATTAGAGCAGTCCCAACCTGGAAGGCCACAACCCTTCCGACCCCAATAGGAACGAGAATGCCTGGAAAGTGCATTTTCAATAAACTGTGGCCTTCATCAAGCTGACTACAAAGACTGGATATTGATGGATGGCAAAGCTTTTAAAGCTAAATGTGGTCTTTGTCTGAAACAAATTGAAATTTCTAGAATGGGAGAGTCAGCGAGCTGAAAATTTCACATGAAAATTAAGTTTCGTTTTATCATTTCAATTTGTTTTTTTACACGGTTTTGCTTAGCTTAATTTCTGTGTTTGTTTTCAAATTAAGCCATAAATTAATTTTTTATCACCTTCTATGAAGTTTATTCTCTTTGCACATATTAATATGTATGGGATATCGGGATTATGAGTTTATTTCTGCAGAGGGTCTGTTATCGATTTCGCGGGAAATCTGTTGGCTCCATTTCGATTTTAGGTCGCCAAGGGCAAATTCGGTAACGCTAGCCAAGAAAAATGTGAAGTTTCGGAAATAATGTTTTGAAGTTTCAATAGACAATTAAGTATTTTATAAAAGGAATGCTGCTTTCAGAAGAATGTTATTAAATTTTAATATTGCATTCTTAAGAGATAACATTCACCAAGTTTTAGCGATCCAACCCCCCTCCCCCCCAAAAAAAAGCTGTTGTTGATAGTGATGCATTAATTTTTGCTAATGGTGAGTGATGCAATTATTAGTTGAAATTAAATAATTAAAAATTTTTTTAATATTTTTAAAGCTGAAAACAAGCTAATTGAAACTAATTTCCTGAATTAACTAAACGCAGAATTAACTTTCATGAATTACTAAAGTTATTAGATAGAAGTTTAACTGAAAATATACATTCTGTATTATATATATATATATATATTTATTTACAGTACAAAGTCCGAGGTCTGGACTCGTCGGGACTTCGGCGATCCCAGATTTGAGATTTTTCCGGATATTAGATCATTTTAAATCTACTAAGATGGCACGTAGAAATTAGAAAATTGATTGAAATATGAAATCGTGATTTATGAAAATAATGAAGCATTTATGATTTAAAGGGTATCAAAATTTACAAAAGAAAAGAGCTTAATATTTATATGTTTACTTTATTAAACATTTCTTTCAGTGTGAGTTGTTTGATTTGTTTTCTCTGCTAATACTTTAGACTAATACTATAGACATATAATTTCTTGTTCAGCTATTAAGTTCCATTGTTCAAGTCCTGTAATTGCTGTGTCGAGAATTCCGAATAACTTGTCAATAAAAAATTTTTCTCGTTCAGTAACCTCTTTGTTACTTTCTTCACTATCAGTAGCTGTATTTTCTGGATTTAGAACCATACTACAGATTTCGCCCTCCGTTAATTGATTGATGATTGGGCATTGTCATCGCAATGAAAAACTTCTGTTTAACTTCGCTAAATTCTGCCGCCTGGTGCGGCCGTGCGTCGCTGGTTCTGGCTTTATGTGAATAACAAATCAATTATTCTTAATTCAAATAGCACTAAATATAATTGTTTGTCATATGAGTATCATTAACAAAATCTATTTTTAGCATAAGGAAATAAATTTCTGCTAAATCTCCCCTTGTCAACATTAGCGCATTAAACTTAAATCTGTAATCGGATAATACTCTGTTATTTGGCGTCACTGCATGATTCATCACTCAAGTTGTCATCCGTTGATATGCGGTGATGAAAGCAAAATACAATAAATAATGATTCGCGATTTTGGCATCAAGGATATAAAATATTAGTTGGTGTAAAATTAACAAATGTTTCGGTTTGAGATTATGCCAAGCAGATACGCAGCTATGGATTCAAGTTACTAATCACACAAATTTATACTAAAATAATTATTTCTTCAATAATGAGATATTTTATTTAGCGCCAAACTGAGATTAAGAATTGGGATTTCCGACATGTTTTTTTATGATGAGGAAAAAAATCTAATGCGCGTGCGTAAAGCATACCCCTTCCCTTCAAAAAAGCCCTAAAAAATTGGTTTGGTGGTGGCTTTGAGGCCTGGATTTTAGGATCATTCCAGATCTTGGATGTCCTGATCTCGGAATTTGTACTGTATATATATATATATATATATATATATATATACATCTTTCAAAATATAACTTACCAGTATGGATTCACTCTTTTAAAATAATTCTACTTTAATTAAACTTAGGAGATAATATAATCAATTAATCAATATTGCTTAGGAAATCAATTATATATATATATATATAGTAAAAAATGTATATTTTCACTATTCAAGTATTCACTGTGACAAGTAATCTTATCTTGTCACATGAACAGGCTTCTGTGGAAAGGGCCTTCTCTGTAAATAAAGCAATTGAAATTGAAAATTTAAGTGACTCATCATACATTTTTCAACACACAGTATTTGATTACATAAAGTTTTCTGGAGGTATTCTTAATATCGAAATTAATAAAGAAATAAGATCAGCAGCAGCTTCTGCAAGAGTGGAGTTCGTTATTTAGAAGTTCAGTATTTAGAAGAACAAAAATCTTGAACTAAATCTGAAAATTCAAAGAGGAAAAGAAATATTATTGAGGAAGAAATTGATTATATGAAGCAGAAGAACAAATTTCTTCAAAGGGACATTAAAGATGTTAATGAAGAAGTAGATGCTTTAGCAGATGAAGCTGAGACCAGCAGGAACATTGATTTGTTTATCAAAGCAAATGAACTTAGAAGATTAGTTAAAGAAAAGGAAATAGATATAAATAAATTTTGTTAAAATAGCTGAAAAGATTTCAGGTTTAAAAAAAGCACAAATGTTTTGTATCTTTTATTGTACAGTTTATTATTCTAGTATCTTTCAAAAAAACCAAAGGAAATAAAGTTGTATGTTTTACAAATCAGTTATTTTAATCTGCAAAATATTCTTACATTGTGATTTTAATAGTAGTTGACTGTGTTTGAATAAATATCAAAAAAGTTAAATAAGTAATCATGTAAATCTCTAAAATACGTATGACTGTTATTAGTGCTAAAATACACTTATACATGTTTTTCAAGAAATTATATGTCCCTAATTTAATGTTATCTGCCTTCATAACTTGTAGGGAGTTAGTTTAATTTTCAAAATTGTTTTATGGTTAAGTTTGATAAGTATGAAATTAATAATTTGCATAATACAGTCAAAACTTCGTTAGTTTTTTAAAGTGAAATTACAAGCATGAAGTCGGTTGTATGGATAATTGCTTTTTTATTCTATTCATTTTTTTGTTTGCTTATAGGTCCTTAATTTTTTCTTTGATGGTCCTTAAAAGTCCTTAATTTTCATGTAAGGAAATGTGTACGAACCCTGAAAATTCTAAATCATTGTAATTTCTAACTTTAGATAATAAATTAGCCATTTTAATTCTTATAAGTACTTTCATTTCAGTAGAAGCGGGAAGAAATTTTAGAAATTAAAAATATCACATTAGAAGATGGAGAATGTAATAGGTAACATTTCCTTGAAACACAGTTTCCCAGAACCAGTTTGAAAATAGAACCTGAAGTGCAATTTTTTATTCCAAAATACTGCAGATAGTTAAGGCGAACAGAAATAAGGCACAAAATGCATGTCAACTCTCTTCTGATAATGCAAGTGATAAACAATTTATTTTGAATTCAACTTGAGAAGTCTGAATGAAGACTATAACCTACCTGCTTGAAGAGAATTCTTGGAAATGTATCATTCAGAGGAGTATTGTGGGAATGTCCCCTTTCCCAGTCTGATAAGGATTTAAATGATTTAGTGAAAAGGAATAAAAGTTAAAGCTCAAAATGACATAGTAAGTGGAGTTTTTCTTCTTGAACATGGATAGAAAACATTCAGTTGTATGGATTAACAGTCAAGGTGTTCTATGATTTGCAAAAATGATATAAGGTGGATTTTTTTTAAATATCCAAGTGACAATTTAAAGATATGTTTTCATGTAAAAAAGAATCATTCCTAACAGTGTTGATGAAAATAGACTTTAATAATTTACCTGCCTTTGATTCTAATTCTTTTCTTGGTTAATTCTGTAATGTTTTTATTTGAATTGTGTCAATTCTTTGCAGTGAAAGTATTTCCTTTTTTAAGGGTGGAGAGTATCAATCAAAAAAGGTTTATCTGCCAGATATTTTACACCCTAGTTTAAAGTAAGTATATTTATTTATTTAAATCTCAGAGATTTCTTAACAGAATTTTTAGAATTTTGCATACATATTTTTAAACCATTTTCATTATTTAAGTTCATATATTTCTTTTTTAAAATATGATAAAATAATGTGTTGATAAAAATGCATTCATTCTGTTCTCAGATTGGCAAAATCAATTGTATCAAAATATTTTGAAGACTTAGTGTTGGATAAACAAGATTTTCTCAGCAACTCAGAAAACTGTGATAAAATTATTGCCATGTGTTTAGATCAAAATATCCTTTTATATTTTTATAATGGAATAAATATTTGGTATTTTACTTATCAAAATTTATTAACTAATGAAAATTTGTATCTTTTTTATGTATAATTTTTAGCCAAATTTATTAATTTTTTATAAATTTTATTGTTTTTAAGAAATTTAGTTTTTTATTATTGCTAAAAAATAAAGCTTGTATTAAAATTACATTAGCGTTAAGTGTTTGACATGTAATTAGTGTGTGCTCTCTAGAGTTCCATTATATATATATATGTATAAAGCATAACTAATCTATGTATTTCTTGTAAATTTTCACTTATTTTTATATGTTGTCTTAAACATTTAAACAAAGAAAACAAGCATATAGGAAAAGTTGTTGCAGATATTTCTTCTTAACTAATGAGCTATATAATATTTGTAATTAAAATAATTATGTGCATGATCAACCAGATAGCATTCCCCCCCCCCTGCTGTATACAGTTAAATTCAAGCAGTGACAGTGCTTCGTTTTCTGAGAGTTACTTGTCTTTTGATGGCCTTCTTGTTTATTTCACACACACAGATTATCATATTTTATATTTTCACTAATAGTTCAAAACTCAAAGTTGCTCATAGCTTTAGCACCAAGAAGGTGAGCATTTGCGGGCATCAAGAAGTTGCACTGCATGGAAGACAGATGATGTAAAATCCCATGGTTGAAGTTTTATTACATTTTGCTAGGCACAAAAATGGATAGGTGAAAAAAGTTTCAGAGTAGTGTAAATATCATAGTTACAGAAATTTTTTTTTTTTTTTTTTTTTTCCCCTCTGAATGAAAATTATTTTAGGCTCTCAGATAAGATAATTTTTCTGTTGTATCGAGATATCCGATTCTAACTTCTATAAAAAACACCGGGCCCTCTTTCATCAGACTTAATGCTTTTCATAAACTGTTGACTTAAATAGTTAAATCTTTTGTTTCAAATTGGTTTATTATATATTCACCACTACAGAAAAACCCAGAGACTGTCAATAGAACTGAACACAAATCGAGAATTTTAGCTAAACTTCCTCTCAGGCAAATAAGATATGAAGATGAAAAATAAACAAGCAATTATCTGTATAATTAACTTTCTTTAACGTAAGATAAATGGAAAAGATCTGATGAAATCCTCACTTGCAGATTGTGTAACAAGTGCCCAGAAATGGGCTCAAGTTAAACAAATAGAAGAAATTGCACTTCGACAGGTAGTTATTAATTTATTTATATACTGTAGTATAATGTACCTACTAAAGAGATAAAAGAAAGAAAAACTATATTTTTCTTTATATTAGTAACTGTTCTGTTTAAGTAATAAAATAGTTTTTTAATAGAACTCAGGACTTAACTTTTTTTCTAAATAAGTTAATGCAAATTTTTAAAATGCTTTCCATTCCAGAATGTTTTTCCAAAATTGTATTTTTCACTTCTAAAATTCTGTATTTATTCAAACTTGTAACCTTTTTTTTCTAGAAAGGACTCAAAAACAGAAACAAGCATTTTATCACAGAAGTGATGTTTCAGTTATGTTACCCACGTTTGGACATCAACGTAACTAAAGGTTTGAACCATCTTCTAAAAGCTCCCTTTTGTGTTCATCCAAAAACAGGTCGTGTTTGTGTACCAATTGATATCAACAAGGCTGATTCTTTCGATCCTTTTATGGTTCCAACTATTTCGTAAGTAAATTATGAAAATATGTATAATATTTTGATAGCTAATATTTTGATTTTTAAATCAGCGCTATTAATGTGTGACACTAATCTACTTATTAGATTATTAGTAGCAACAGGAAACAGATTTTTGTAGCCCAGAAGGGCTATTAATTTCGTTTTGACATTTTGCATTGAAAACTTAAAAGGCTATCACTTTTCAAATTGTTGCCACCAAATATTATCGCCGTGTGTTATATTTAAAGAAGTTAAATAATGAAGAATCTGCATAAATGTATAAATGTTTCTCACATTGTGATAAAACAACGGTACCTAGAGCCATCAAATTTTGAATAATATAATCCTGCACCTGACTATGGGCATCTGGTAACCTAATTTGGAATTTGTTTTATTATCTATTTCACATTTTGTAAAACTTTAACAAAATTTTGGTTAAAAAAACTCAATGATTTCAAAGCGAGCAATGACAACACTGTACAGGAAAAAAAAAAAAAAAAGAAGAGAAAAAATATCACGCACGAGACTGTGTATTTCAAATTCTAAAGATATGCCCTTTTTAAATTATTTTGTGATATTGCCTCTTGAATTGAAATTTATGGTTTAAGTGCGAAGAACATGATATTTAATAAATAAAGGTAACCACAAAATGTTAAAGAAAGCCCCTCTATGCATAATGTAAAATCTGAAAACTTTTTTTTTTTTTTTTTTTTTAATTTATTATTTCTTTTTTTAGATATGTTGAATATTTTCGGTATTTCTCAACATGCTACAAAACTATTTACAAGCATAAACAAATAAAGTAACGTTATCAGGAAAGTTACTTACTCAGACCAGTTAGTGTCAAGTTATTAGATTTTGTTCGGGAACTGCTCTTTATTCAAAATGTTATGAATTTTCATCTGAAATACTGTATATACAAAGTGTTCTTTACTAGGCTGAAAATCTGCACCAGATAATATAATCTTAATGAGAATGTATGCATGACTAGTTGGCATATTTTACACCTTGAACAACTATTAGCATATTGCTCTACAACTGCAAAATTCTACTAGTTTGTTCTCCCTTATGTGATTTACTTAAATCATATAACCCTATCTAATCAAGTACTTTTTTCCCAGATTCAGCTCTCATGTTTCAACAATCTGTCTGAAAGGAATCTATCCCACTTCATAAAAATGTTTCAGGCTACTGCATTTTGCAAAGTGGGTTCTCGTACTGTTGTAATACCAGAGTAACTGATATTGAAGATTTTCTAACAGTGGTTAGTCAAGCATGTAAAGAGTTTTTAGATATAACAAAGCTAATACAGCAAGATCGGAGACTGGAGGTCAAAAAATGATAGCAGTACCTCAGATGTTGAGCAGTAACTTGTCTGTGGCAAGTCAGAGCAATAAGATGAATGAATTTTGTTAGTTGATGTTCAGTCAGGTGACTGTCGCTGCTGCACTGATAGTCTGGAGAAGGAAAGCACAAGAGGAGGTGAAATATTTGGCGAAGATTGGTTGGTTAAAATTTAGAGATTCAGTTTAGAACTACATAATTTAGAAAGGAGATCAAATAGATAGGGTAAAGAGAAAATAAATGCAATGCAGTGAAAAAGGCTAAGTGAGTAATCATAATATTATGAGAAGTTTTCTTCTGAAGTGCTTGTCATTGTAGTCATGTTAAAATACATATTGTGCTATTTTACATGTTATGAATCTTCATATGAAATTTCTTTATAAGACATACATGAAAACTCTGATGGTTTTAATATCATATTCATGATGAAAAGCTTTGTTTCTAATAAGCTACCTGCAGTGCATGGTGTGCCTAGTATAGTAGAGTTGAACGAGCTCTATTCCTAAAAAACTAACTGCAGTGCATGGCATGTCTAATATAGTAGAGTTGAAATACTTAAATTCTCTTAGTTTGTGAACAAGCATATAACCATAGACAAGTACTTAAACAAAATATGTGAATTTTGAGACTTCTGTATAAGAGGATAGATAATATGCCATAACACCTAGATATTGGACTTGCTTCGTCCAGGGAAGTATAGTACATAATAATTTGATGGTCATCATCAGTCTTTGTTTGGTGAATAAAACGACATCCGAATTCTCTATGTTGATTTTAATTTTCCATGCTTGAAGTTGGGACTCCAGTGCATGAATGTGGGTTTGGAGTGCTTATTTAACCGAGCTAAGAGATTCATTTTCAGGAAGAATTGTAACGTCATCTGTGTTTAGTTGTATTTTGTGGGGAATATGTCCTCCATGCAAAGATTGAATAAAGGACCAAGAAGTGACTTGTGGAATGCTAGCTAAAATGGGATGGCATGATGAATATATGTTGTTGACATGAATGACAAGCTATGTCATATCTTTAACCCCTTCTCGCCGACTGTTGCGTCTACGTGCCAGTAACGAACACACTCACTTCCCAGCCGACACGCAGGCGTGCCAGAGCGTTTTCCCGTTCAGTCCCAACTGTCATGTATTCGTGCCAGTGTCCTGGAATGTTTTAAAAACTATAATTTCTGCCACAAGATGGCACTGTATGTCCATATGGTTTCAGATACATGTACATTAGACCTTCTACTCGAAATGAGAGAAGCATGACTCACATACACGTATTTTGATTATAAACAAACATGATTAAAAAATTAAAAACAAAAGGGGAAATAATTTAAATGGCATGATCATGATTTATGACATCTAAATTCGCATGTGGTAGTTATTTATTGTAAGTAGAGAAGTTTTATTTTCGCTAAAGTGTTGGGTATTTCAGTTTGCAGTTCAGTTTTTAGAAAAAATTAGATCTTGTTAGACGTGAATTCTTTCTGTTTTTACCGTTGCAATGTCGAAGCGTCGAAAATGTTTAACAGAGCATGAAATAGCAGAAATGATGCAAAATATTTCAGATATTGATTCTGAAACAGATTCTGATAGTAGTGATAGTGATACTATGATATATTCTGATCATAAAGTATCTGGCGAATCTAATGATGATGAGGACATTTCGGACATCTGTATGCCGAGTACGTCGGCATACAGATGTCCAAAATGTCCTCATCATCATTAATCCTTAATTAATTAATGTTCTCATCATCAATGTCGTTATTACGAGTGCAAGGAATGTAACGTAGGACTGTGTGTAGATCCCTGTTGTCAAATTTTTCATACGAAAAGAGAATCTTAAGTAATATATTTAGTTTTCAGATGTATAATGTTAAAAGTCATAAAATGGTGAGTAATGAAAATAAAATGTGTAAAATATGCATTTAAACAAGAAATAAGGTAATTAAAGTACAGTCAAAAGTCGTTAATTCGGACACTCATAATCCAGAATGATCTATAATCCGGACCTCAAAGCTAAAAACTTTCTGCGCATGTGCCACGTTGACACATGCGCATAGGCGTTTACACGTGCATGTAAGACCTTTACGCGCACGCGCATATGCAGAATACGTTTTCGCATGCGCATTTAATGTATAACGGACGGTGCAAGCTAAAATTATATAATTATCTATTTCAGTTAATGTTGATGATTGCGTTGTTCCTTAATCTTCGAATTGGATGCGGCTTATTATTTTTTGTAGACTGTGAGAGCAATTTTATAAAAGTAAACTTGAACTTTCGATTATGTCAATTTCCGATACTGGAGCTCCCAAAAGGATTTACAAAATGAAAGTATGTCTCGATGTCTGTCAAACAAAAAGTGGAATTGCTGCAAAAAATGGATAAAGACATGAAGAAGGTGACAGAGAGGTTAGTGAAAACGAAAAAATTTCGATTGACAAGTTAGTCGGTATTCTCGGCACAGCAATTACGGGACTTGTAACTGAACAAGAAATCATGTCTGTTTATAGAATTAAAGAGAAAGTATTATCACATAAAACGAAACAACTTACATTGAAAGAAATGTTTAATAAAGTAAACAAATAAATATTAAGCTTCTTTTTTTGTAAATTTTGATAACCTTTAGATCATAATTGTTCTTTATTTCATAAATTACGGTTTCATATTTTTAATTTTAGAATTTGTGCATGCCATCTTACGAGTAAACTGATGATCTATAATCCGGAAAAATTGATAATCCGGAATCGCCGAAGTCCCGACGAGTCTGGATTAACGACTTTTGACTGTATATATAAAAATATCTATAAAGCATACGCCATTTAAATACTCTATAGAGCATTATTAAACAATGCATTGATGCTTCGGAAATTTTATGGATTTAGGCTTAATAGCAAAAAAGCCCCCAGCCCTGGACGGACGCTCGCGTAAGACACTGCCTGCCTCCGCGATAAGCGAGCGTTTGCGCTACCCAGCACGAAGGGGTTAAGGTAGTGATGAATGATGTTTCCTGGAAAACTTAGCATGATAAATTTGTTTATGAGACCTTTCAGATGGAGACAAGAGTTATAATCACATCAAGTAATATTGTGCCAGTCGTGAATTTATTTTATAAACTGTAGAAAATCATCAGCTACAAAAAATATAGTTCTATTTAATCTAACTAGCATACAAAGTGAGGTTTACTAAACCTTATCTAACTGTGTCTCTAAAAATTAACATGCCCTGTACTCCTGGCAACTGTGACACAGCATTATAGCCATTATCCAAACTAATTGATTACAACAGCCTTGAATTAATTTAGATAAGATATAATTTGATAGACAATAATAAAGTTCATCAGTATTTTGGAAATTTTTAATTGTAATAATTAAAATTATTTAATCTTCAGTATGCATTAATTGATTAGTGTTTCCAAAATATCATCTCCAAGTGGAATATTTTAATAGTTTCTTTGGCAAATAAACTTTTTTCCCACAAATTTTCTTTTAACTTAAATGATTTTGTATCTTTAAATTTAACTTTTCAGAGATTGCTTACTAAAAATAAGCACTGTTAAATTTGATATCAAATTCTGTGCAAAACATTAACAGCCTAGTACAAAAAAAATTTTTTTAATATGTTATTATTTTTACAAATGTTGCATGAAAATTGGTGAAATATGTTTTGTTTTAGGCATCAAATACGACAATAAAATCATGAGTATCAAATGCAGCTAAATGTTATGCATATATATATGATTAGAGATATACATTCTAGCTAATAAATTTCTGAAGAAGCATATCATATATTACATTAAATTTAGCTCTAGACTTTTCATAGGAATATGTTATCCCAAGATAATTTAAAAACTACTTATTTATTTAGATATGGTAATTAAAAGGGTTAAGCTATTTGTAAGATTTTAGTAAATATTAAATCGTAACTCATATTCATAAGTGTCTCAGCATCTACAAAGCCAAAAAGTTTTCAAAGTAAAAAGTAGAAAAACGTTTTCAGTTTTATACTAAATGTGTTACAAGTATTATAAAAACAGTATATTTTGTGCATATAGAAAAGAGTAAAAATGCTGATATATTAAAAAAAAAAAAAAAAAAGCTATTAATAGATACTTCTGAAAATATGAATCTACTGTTCAAAAGTATTCAAATAAATATCTTTCCAAATTATATGTTAATATGTGACTGTCATGAAAAATTTAATACTAAAAAATTTTTAGGAGCCTTTGCAGAGAAATTGATAGATTTGATGCAACTATCAAAGAAGAAATGAAAGATGAAGCAGGGAATGTTGACCTGGAACTATCTTCTGTGAAGATTGATGATTACAGTAAAACAAGTCTCTATCACAGTATCGAAATTTTTAAAAACTTTGTAAACAATTTATGTTCTGCACAGACATAGCTCTATATATATGTTCTTCATTAGGATGTTAATACACATACAGTAGCATTAAATTTAGATCAGTTTACTACCATATCATCCAAGTACAATAAGAACTGTTATTTAAAGTTTGCTTGATTATCACATTTATGGACTTTTTCCCTCTTAATTTCCTATAAATTACCAATGACTGCTTTATTGATTACTTTCAAAAAATTTTTTATCCATTAATGAAGAATTTTACAGGAGTGCTTCAAGTATCCAGAAAAACAATGTTCATTAGAAACTATTTTACTCAACTAATAAACATATACTGATTTTCATTATGCTGTTGTAGTTTTCCTTGGTGCATTAACATCCAATATTGAATTTAAAGGGAAACAAATGGGAGGGGGATAATTCATTACTTTTTCCTAGTAGTAGAAAAATAAAACACATTTAACGGTAAATAAAATATTTTATTCTATATTTTATAATACACACACATTTAACAACAATAAATATCACAGATTAGAACTCATCATGGAAACTACGAGCTGTATCTACCATTTTGCTTCCTAAAAATGAATCTTTCTTTGCAAGTACTTCTTCCAGAGATAAAAGCTGATCTTTGTTAACGTCAGCTAATTTAATGAGTTTTTTAGCTTCCATTTTAGAATGCACAGGATTTTCTGGATCATTATACATCTGAAATAAAAACATTTTTTATGTTATTAATATGATACATTTCTGTTAATTTGTAATAAATTATGAAATGCAAAAACAATTTCCTCCTGTCTGCAGATAAATATCAAAAAAGAAACTGTATGCTCACATTCTAAATTAAGATCCATTGAAAGCAATTTAACACCACTGTAAGGTATTTTGGTGATTATTTTTTATAACTTGGATATTTCTACCGTGTAACATATTCTCTATTGTAACACACATAAGAAAAGCATATTAACTTTTTAAATAAGCATAAGAAAAGATATCCACCATAAACTGAAAGTACTGCATATTAATGCAGATAATTAATAAAACTGAAGAAACAAATTAAACCTACATTGTTATAGAAATATGATTTTAATGAATGGACTAACAGAATGCTATATATATACTGTCTAAATAGGACATATTTGTATAAGTTTAACTACTATTCCTACTTTACAAGCAAACAAAATATCCACATACAGAGTTTAAAAAAAAAAATAAAAAAAAAAAAAATACCAGTAATTCTTCTCTTGTAACTTTTCCATCACGATTGAGGTCTATAGTATCTCTAAACTCTCTGGTTCTCTGTTGTTTCCATTCAGCTAAAGATTGGTTGGTTTCATCAGGATCAGGCATTTCTACAAACTCTTGTTCTGACAGCATTTCATCCCCATCAGTATCTATACAAAATAATAACATAAATTAAAACATAACTTCAGGTTTTTTATTTATTGTAACTATCAAATAAGTTACTTTTAAGAGCATTATTTCACTTATTTTAATAAATTTTTGTACATATATAAAATAGGAATGGCCACAGTATAGCTTTTCCAGGCAAGTAGTGCTGCTCTTGTGAATATAAAATACTCACTGTCCATAAGAAAGTAATTATTTCACTTCTTTCTACAAAGTGATTAAATGTAACCTGTTTCACTGCTTTTAAAATGATATAAATGTCGGCTTGTGGCTTTTGTAAAATTTAGTTGCGCTTCTCAAACTTCCTAAAATTTTAACATGTGGCTCTTATTGACATGAGCGGTAAAGTCGCTGAACACTGGTAGTTCGGTCCGAGGTTCGAATCCCGCGAACGGGCTGGCTGCATGGGCGTTTTCGTGGTTTTCCCCATGTGTAACGTGTATACGAGCCAGTTTCCCTTAGAAAGTCCTCCACGAAGGCATCCCTCCTCTTAGGCAGATAGCCCTCGAGGCTTTGCCATAATCACACACACACACACACTTATTGACATGAAGTTTGGTTATCCCTGATATATAGAATGATAACTTGCAGATTTTATTAGAATGTCCTTTAATTCAAAGTTTGTATAGTTAAAATTACATTTTATATGAGAGATATGAACTCAACTAATAATTCTACTTAAGTTCTATTTAACATTTCTATTATACAAAAAAGCATATTTTGTGAGATTCTTTAAAGATTTATAAAAAATTAAAAAGTTTTGTATGAGGATGTAGTTTGCTATGACATGAATTCACATTTCATCCAGCAGCAAAAAAAGTTTTAGTTAAGAATTATACTGATTGATGGTGCTGCTCCATAGAAAACATTAAATATGCAGAAAAAGTTGTTTTGGTAGTTGCTGCCTACCACTTTTTGTATTAATTTATGTTTACAGACTTTACTACACAGTTTTTATGAATTGAGTTTAGTTGGTAAACCTCTGCTGTGAAATTCTACCTGTCTAGAAAATCAGCTGTTTTAGCTATGTTCTGTATGTATGGAATGGAAAAACATACTAAAACAATAAATAACTATGATAACATCAACAATTCTCAAGCAATGTTTTGAGAAAATGAGAATTATTACTGTTTGAAGTTACAGCAGCAAACCATCATTCGCAGAATCCTATGCATACCAAGTAACAGTACAAGCAGATTGTAGTTAATGCTAGGGAATATACTACAAAATTAATCCACCAAATTGTTCAGCACTGCACTGCATCTTACATAATCTGTTGCATGCCTTTATAAGCTACATTTGCCATTATCAAGTGATATTCGTACATGGTAAGAATTTGCCTTATTGATAAGATTGCTGATTCACAATGGGTTGTGGACATCTTTACAATAGGTGCAGCATTTTATTTCACAAAAATTTTTATACTTATAACTGTCAAATACAGGCAAAAGATAAATCTCCAAGCATACACAGAGATTAGTCACTTATATTCTACTCTGCCTCCTCAACTCCTGGATTTCAATATCTGTAAATTTCTTATTTTGAGACTACTTCGAAGTTTGGGTGGAACTGATCTCTTATTCCTAGCAAAATTATAAACATCTGGGTCCTTCAAAGTTACTTCTACAGACCCATGCTCAACATATTTAGTAAATTATATTAGCACATAGTACAGAATATGATTTCCTATAGTGAGAGCATACTAAATGTTTGATAGTGTGAAACTGTGTAATGAGGCAGGAAATGGCATTTAAGTGATGCATCTGTTAAATGCCATATGAAGAGAAAGATGAAAATTCAAGCACCATCTGCCAGCAAAATTTTGAATTAAAATTACTTTGTTGCCTACGAAAAATCTGAATTCATGGTATGAATTCTGTTGCAGACTGCATCCTCATACAACAACTTACTCATTCTTCATGAATTTTTAAAAGTATAATGACTTTTGGCTCACTTTGCATACATTAATTCAAGTTGAGCAATGAATCTTTTTAAACTTGCTTTAATCAAAGTGTAGTTATTACTAGTATTAAATGTAGTCTTACCAAGATATCTATGTATATATTTGATATTAGCTGCTACCTGCTCCCTCTCTGATAACAGATGCACAAAATGAAGTTCTCATGAAAATTAACATTTAGAAAAATTAATTTTCAAATTCTAAATACAGTTGCTTATGTATATATTAACCAAAAACTAATGGCATACACACACATACGAGGGCCATCCAGGAAGTAGATTACGTTTCCGTCTGTGTCCGCTAGGGGCAGGGCTAGCGCGGCCATCTTGGGGTCAGAGCGTTGCGCAGCTCAGTCTGCATCTAGCCGTGCTAGTGAGAGGTTCGTGCTGTGCTCCGTTCAGATACTGTGACGGTTTGAAATGTCTGCGTTAATTGAAAATCCTGCGAGGTGCGCTCAGTAATAAGGTTTCTGACTGCAAAAAACTGTAAACCGATAGAAATCTATCGGCAGCTTCGTGAAGTGTATGGGGACAACATTATCACTGAAGGTGGAGTGCGTCAGTGGGTCATAAGATTTCAAAATGGGCCGAACCAATGTTCACGACGAAGATCGAAGTGGGAGACCCAGCATAGTGACCGCCGAACTTCTCGAAAAAGTCGATGCTAAAGTCCGTGAAAATCGAAATTTCACAATAACGGAACTTTCTTTGAGTTTTCCACAAATTTCGCGAAGTTTGTTGCACGAAATCATCAGCGAAAAGCTTGGTTACCACAAGTTTTGTGCAAGATGGATTCCAAAAATCTTGACAGAGGACCACAAAAATCAGCGAATGGCTGCAGCGTTGAACTTTTTGGACGCTTACCATAAGGATGGTGACTCTTTACTCGATCGCATCGTTACTGGTGACGAAACATGTGAACTGTGAAACGAAATTGCAATCAATGCAGTGGGGGCACACAAGTTTTCCCCAAAAACCCAAGAAATGCATGCAAACAATGTCGGCAAGGAAGATGATGGCGAATGTTTTTTGGGACAGAAAAGGTGTATTTTGGTGGACTTCCTGGAAAGAGGCACTACAATAAACTCTCAAAGGTATTGCCAAACTCTCCAAAAACTCAGAAGAGCAATTCAAACAAGCAGAGGAGGAATGTTGAGCTCTAAGATCTTGTTGATTCACGACAACGCCCGGCCCCACACGGCAAATGTCACTCGTAAAGTTCTTGAATCTTTTAAGTGGGAGTTGTTTCCTCATCCGCCGTACAGTCCGACCTGGCACCGAGCGACTTCCACCTATTCCCAGCAATGAAGAAGTGGCTGGCTATGCAGCGTTTTGATGACGACGCCACAGCTGCAAGAAGAGGTAACGAAGTGGTTGAAGGCGCAGGCGGCCGGCCGAATTTTTCGACGAAGGAATTTCCAAGCTCGTACATCGCTACGATAAATGCCTTAATTGTATGGTGACTGTAGAAAAGTAGTATTTGAGTGTGGCTTTCATCTGTATATAATAAAATTTGTTTCCTATACTTTGTTTATTTTTTTATTCCAAAACGTAATCTACTTTCTGGATAGCCCTCGTATTTACACTATAATTCATATAACATAAGTATTCTAACAAAAACTCTTTAAAAACAGTGCACAAATAATTATTCTGTACACAAAGTACAGCAAGCTATGATAAAATGGACTGCAAGCTGTAACACTGAAATACACAATTATTATTACTGGATCCGTTTGCACCCTAGCCCTTTTATTTTAATACCTTTATATGACTCATTGATAATAACTACAGCAACAGAAGGCCCTTAGCTAACAGTCATGACCTGTAGATGACTGACAAAAAATCTGAAATTCAGACATTCTGGACATTTCCCATTTTTTTTACTATAACTGTAGATATATCAGACACTGATCCTTTTTGCAAGGCAATCTCAGTCTGATGATGTATTTTAGCCATTAAAATGGTATTCTTATTCACATTTAACTTTAAAATTTTACATTAGTCATACTGAATTTTTAGACCAAAATCTCTTCAGTTTTATAGAACTATATGAAACAGAACTTCACAAGCAATTGAGAAAATTACATACATACATAATATATATAAATATAAATATATGAATAGTTAGAAACAAATTTCTCACAAAAGAAACTAAAACAAATGAGCAGATTTCCTATTTTGTTGCCTGGTTATTATTTAAAATCAACCTATACGTATATTATTAATAACACTGTAATTTTTTTAGAAAACTGCAACGTAATTCACAAAAAAATAGCATTTTTATAATTATCAGCATGTAGTTTGAATTAAGAAACCAAATTATAAATGCTACATATTTTCAGGAATAATATTAAAAAATATTTTATATATTTAAAATATTTATCATTACACTACCTAAACTACCAATGATATCATTAACCATGTTGAGAAGAGAAACATGACTATGTTCAGGATGGCGAAAAGTCAAGAACTCATCAATATTCAGAGCATCAGGATCCGAATTGGCAGCTTCTGACCAAGCAGCTTTATCCAAAAGTATTTTCTCTTTTACTGTAATTAAATATCAAATCATCATCTTATTTTAATGAATAAAAATGCACAAAAAAAGAAGGACTGAAGTATATTTATTAAGCAATTTTAAATAGGACTAACACAATACAAAAACCATTTTATAATTAATTCTCTTGGAATCATTAACAAAGATGAAAACGGTAAAATAGAAAAGTATCTACAAGTATCAGTTTTGTATCAGAGACGATATGATTTAAAGTGTACACTTGTTGTTTCATCCAAGAATTAGATTTCTACTCTGACTTCTAAAATGATGGAAATTGTAATCTCCACATGTTTCACACAAATATAAAACTTAAGCAAGTCTTATAATTTTACAAACCTAAGACTTCTCTAGCAATGACAGTTTGTGTATACAATTATAAAAAAATTCTTTTTCACTTGAAAAATCTAGGATTATAATCTTTAGGCTAAGTTTTTACGATATAGAACAAATCCTCCCAACATCTGAAAGTTTTTCCTAAGAAAATAAATAAACATCAGTCTAAAGCACTACCTCCAAAGAAGATCAAATCGTCTGGGACTAGGCACATAATGACACTTTTAAGGTAATCTTTTATTTTTCGAGTTAAATGATTTTTTATCTTGTACAATGAAACACATACGCTTTATGATTTTCAACTTGTATACCAAGGAAAACAGTTTTAGATACCCATTCAGTGCACAGAAAATTTCTCACAGCACTTGCACATTTTCCTTTAGAAACACATCAATAGTAACCATGCATGAAAGCAACACATCTGGGATGGTAAACGTGCGGAAACCAAGAGACACTTTTATTCAAAGTCCATCGAGTCATAGGTTTAATTATCCTGTTGGTTCTCTGTGATGTTGTAGTTTTTTTTTTTTTTTTAGGGAAGATGAAACCCAAATTACAATTGAGCCGTGGCGAAGATGACTTTCTTAGGACTGGTGCGAAAATCAAAGCTGGCTAGCTGTTCAAAACAACATTTTTATTTTTTACAGGAACAATTATTCAGAATTATACTTCTGGTTAAAACTAACACAACACTAAGGGTGCTAAACATGTCTCACAATCTCAATACACGTAGTTAACATTTTAGACAATAAAGAAGATGACGAAGCAAGAGAGATTGCTTATTCAGGCAGCAGCAAGTGAGAAAAAGTAAAGCTTACTCACCTCAGCCCTATTTATAGCCAGAAAGTCATTGACTGGGTTACAGATGTCACAGTGCAGACAGATTTCAAAGAAAGAAGTGACATAACATGTGGCAGAGGGATGTAGCAAAGTGTAGCCTTAAGTGGGGATGTGTTTAATTAAAATTTATGAATCTGAGGATATATTGTCAATTAATTGCAATTAAGTTTATTAATTTTGTTTCATATTTTACATATTCCATACCTATGAAATTACGGAATGTATAGCCATACCTATGAACATTTTAACCCTTAAAAAACTGAAGCCTATTTAAGCTGTATGCTTAAAATACCGAAATACCTTTTGAGATTCACAGAAATTTCCTCCCCTCCCTGTCCATTATTGCACAAAGAAGTATGAAGATTTCAAATGTCACATGCAACCTAAAAATAAGAAACTGCAAATAAAGCCTTTTAGAACAAGCTGTCTGCAATAAACTGACACAGTGCATTGGGGGGAACTGCATACCTTATAGAGAAAACAACATCACTGTTTCAGGTGGTTGTGGTCATTTGAATGAGAGGCCATCTCGGGCATTCTGACCTTCAAAGAGTTAAAATAACACAACCAATTTAGCATTTTTTTAACAAAAAAGTGCACATACCTTTCCTTTTTAAATGCTTATGATTCTCTGGGTGATTTTTTGCATATGTCTTATTGAAACCTTGCTCTATCATAAAATTTACATGATATTCTTCCCAGCTAACACGACCTGGAACAGAATGGGAAAAAACTAATTTAGAAACTATCAAAAATTAAGGTAATAAATTGGTATACTTTATCACTAATATACCTAGTATATTACTCACACATAAAATATATGAAACAACAGAAACCACATTAAGATACATGTTTCTAAATGGAACTATCTATATCAATTTACAATTTTAATATATCTACATAATGAAAACAGTAGTAATTTTAAACTAAATGTATATGCACTGAAAACATAATGTAAATAAGGTTAGAACGTATATTTATTAGTGTTCTGTTGGATATGCTTAGATTGAAAAAACTATAGTATAATTAATAACGGATATACTAGATGGACAAACAGGAGATGCTAATATCCATTATTATAAAACAAAGGATATGAGTTTGCTATACACAGGGTTGCCACGCTACCTGGAGAACCGGGAAAAGTCAGGGAATTCGAAAATTGACCAAAAGATTCAGGGAATTTAAGTATTTTTGTCAAAATCTGGAAAAGTCAGGGAAGTTCATACAACGATGCCGCCAAAAAAAGCGATTTTTGCGCCGACGTCGGAAGAGATAATTTTTTGGCGAATTATGTATCACGTGAGTGTCATTCGGGTAGCTGGCATAGAGCCAATTTTCGCAGCTCCAATTTGATTGTCTTTTAGAAAGGCAAAGCAACTTTCCCGCAACTTTTGGTTTCCAGTATTCTCGAGAATCGCATGTGCATGAACTAAAGAAAGTACCTGTTCTCGTATAAAACAAAATGGGTTTAATCCTAGTATACGGTACCATGGAGGTTAGAATCAAAGAATGTGTATTGTAAAGAAGGAAAACCTCTCTGCAACAGACGTGGCTCCGTTCCATCATAGAGGGAAACAGCTGTGCATGTCTGATATATCTGTCGCCGAAGCTCGAAACCGGTGTCGAAGTTCGAAGGTCACGTTATCAAGAGTTCATAAAATGAATATCGTTTTAAAATTTCTTGAGTGAACGACTTGCGCTAAAAAGACGTGCCACGCACGTCGAGATGCTTTTGTCTCAAACCGTGAGCGACGTGAACACCACGTCGATAAGCATTTATCGCAAAAATGAAAATAACGTGGTGCACACGTCGCCTAATTTCTCGAGTTACAGCTCTAGATTGCACTCGCAGATGCGGAGCGGTGTAAATGAGACACTTTACCGGTTGTTATATTGTAGCGCACGGCATCGCAACCGTGAAGTTTAGTCTTAGCGCAAGTGGTTAAACTCTAAAGGAAAAGAAAATATTTTTTGGCGCAAGTAAATTAATTCATGGATTAGTTATTTTCAGGAAAAAAAAAACTACGAAAATCCGTTTTTAAAATTATTGCGTGGATTTTTCGCAATAATTTTAAAAACGGATTTTCGTAGTTTTCTTTTTGTCAAAGAGAGTTTCTTCTTAACACGTGTTTCTCAATTTCCTGTACACATCGCGAAGAGAGAAATTCTGGCCGCCAGGTTCCGTCGCCAAATCCCTTGGCAAATTTTCCCTCCGCATTCTAACGGCGTAATAGCATTTTACTTGTATGGAACCTTTTCTTCTTTACATAGACATTCTTTGTTTAGAATAATAATGGGATATGGCAACATCATGATGCGCAGTAAACGGGTCATTTTGGTCTTGGCGACAATTTTCAAAATCGTGCCAAAGCCTTACCGTAATACTAGAATTTTACCGCAAACAAAATCTTTTTAAACCTTTTTTTTTTTTTTTTTTTTCTTTTTAATAAATACCTTGCCATTTTGCAGTAAGTAAAATAAAAAAATAGTAATCAGTCATCTAGGCTAGCCATGTAATATAACAAATATTCGCTAAAATATCGTTGATTATTCTAATTCAATTTTTAAGTAATTATTTTTATGTTATTCATATAATTTAATGTGCTTCTTTTCCCTCTAAATTATTTATTATTAGTAAATAATATTTCCAAATTTCAGGAAATTTTCTCTGGCATAATCCTAAAATTAATTATAGCAGTATGATGACATACCATCACGAAATTTAATGCACATATTTTTTCCTTATGTATGCTGCAAAATAAATATAAAATACCTCGATTTATTAAGATTTCTTTCTTTCGTTTAGCTGCAGAATGTCTGCAAAAAAAGCCTTATTTTATTCCAGATTGGGAAGATTCTAATCTCAATCTTCAGTGGAGAAGGAAAAACACAACTATTATAATTATATTTGTGTTTTCAAGTGTTAAGGTGCCTTTTAAGAACATACCTCACGCAAATTAAATTTACCTAAAATCTAACCTAACTATTTAGCATTGTGTTGTGATTTATAAGGACCGGATTAGCCTCGTGTTGAACTGTGTGATGATCATGAGTAATAATTAAATAAAACATACATTTGTTATCCAATGTATATATCTTAAATTTTATTAAGTTTCTTAAGTGGAAAACTAAACAAAATTATCAAACAAAATATACCAAGAATAATTAAGAATAAATGTCCTCTGGGATTTATTGAATAATTAAGTGAATTTGCTACACAATACAAGTAATACCATAATTAATTTACCTCTTAGCACAGCCAACGTACATTACGCGGATAGACTGGAATTTTCTTGAAACACACCTGGAAAACCTGGAAAAGTCAGGGAATTTCATTCTCCTGTTTGAGTGGCAACCCTGTATACAGCAGAAAACTAGTGGCACCTAAAGCCATCAAGTTTGAACACAAACAGTCCTATACCTGCACAAGTGCACTTTAAAACACAAATTTAAAATGATTTTTTATTTATTTAATGTTTTGTGTGAATCTAATAAATTCGTTATGTTTTCCATGCCTAGATACGGTATTTTATCACTCCACAATTTCAAATTTTACATCATTATAGACTATAGTCATTTCACAAACAAAATGCGTTCTACTACAGTCAAAAGTCGTTAATTCGGACACCCATAATCCGGAATGATCTATAATCCGGACCTCAAAGCTACAAACTTTCTGCGTATGCGCACAGGCATTTACAAGTGGGCGTAAGACTTTACAGCTGCGAATATGTGCGCATGCGCGTTTAATGTGTAACGGATGGTATAAGCTAAGCTAAAATTATCCAATTCAGTTAATGTTGCAGATTGCGTTGTTCCTTAATCTTCGAATTGGATCCAGCTTATTATTTTTTTAAAGACTGTTAGAGCAATTTTATAAAAGTAAGCTTGAACTTTCGATTATGTCAAATAGAATTTCTGATATATATTTACTAATATGTAAATGATGTACAAAGCGAAAGTATGTTTCGAAATCCGAAATCTGTTTATCAATTTCACGCTGCGACGCGCAATGAATTGGAAGTTGATCTGTCAGCACTATCCTTATCTTCAGGGCAGATGTTTTTATTTTATTTGGCTTATAATTCCTTACTAAGTGTAGTATTTCATCTCGATGTACTCCGTCTTTGATATGATTTAAATCAAGTTCCTCGTCATTATAATTTGCTTCTGATAGTGAAAGTGACCCAGAGGTTATTGAAAACGAAAAAATTTCGATTGACAAATTAGTCAGTATTCTCAACACAGCAATTATAGGACTTGAACAGCAGAACTTTGTAACTAAACAAAAAAATTATGTCTGTTTAATAGAATTAAAGAGAAAGTATTATCACATGAAACAAAGCAACTTAAACAACTTACATTGAAAGAAATGTTTAATAAAGTAAACAAATAAATATTAAGCTTTTTCTTTTTGTAAATTTTGATATGCTTTAGATCATAATTGTTCTTTATTTCATAAATTACGGTTTCATATTTTTAATTTTGTAATTTCTGCATGCCATCTTACCAGATTTTAACTGATGATCTATAATCCGGAAAAATCGATAATCCGGAATCGCCGAAGTCCCGACGAGTCCGATGTGATGTATTCTGCAGTAATTTACAAAACAGACAATCTTCTTAGTAGAACATAAATTTTATTTCTAGTTCACAGTGATAGACAAATTTTATACAATTCTTAAGTGGCAAAATTTTCATCCTACCCCTAGCTGTAAAATCTTCAGAATACTAATCTTTTTAAAACAATATCTCACGTTACTAAGTAACGGTTTAATACAAATATGGCGTTGCCACTTCAACAATAATTATATTTATTAAATAACAAGATATTACAACCTCTCCCCCCTCCAGATAAACTTTAATTTATATTTTTATAAATTAAAGTTTACGTTTTTTTTTTTGTTTGTTTTTGTTTTTTTTTCCCTTCAAAAACAACAATAACAGCACAATACAGAATTGAAATACAAGATATAACATAATAACATACACTGAGGAAGAAAGGAAGGAACAAAATATTTTTTTTATCTATATAGAGAAACAAATTATTCAATCAGGCCAGGGAGTACGACTTAATGCGTCTACATTTTTTATGGTTTTTACCACTTCGATGAACGATCGTGTAATTGTAGGGTTTGTAGTACTAGTGCCCATCTCATAAGTCGTGGATTTAGACTCTAACATTATTTTTGAGCCAAACTAAGGGATTATGATCGGTCATGATGAGGAATTTAGTATGCCCGTCTAAATAACATTGAAGTTTCTTTACAGCAAATATTATGGAGGCGCATTCCTTTTCTGTTACAGCAACTATGTACTTTTTACAGCAACTATGTATGTATGTTACAGCAACTAGAATACTTTTTTTCAGTTTCTGTAAACTTCTTACTAAGGTATAATACGGGATGTTCATTGCTCTCGTTCATCTTTTTGAGCTAAAATGACACCCATACCAGAGTCTGAAACATCAATTTGCAAAATAAACTTCCTTATTGAAATCAGACGAGTGAGTGACAAAGGCTTTTGTGGCAGTTTTGCTTCTTCAACAACTCGCTCTTGTCTGTTTAGTTTCTTTAAAAACTTCTCTTTGACTTGCATCTCAACTCCAGAACTTGGCAATTCATCTAGAGCTTTTAACTGAGAATCGTTTAATTTTGTCAGTTCTTTCTTGTCAGGTAGTTTTTTCTCTTTGCGAGATGAACTTTTGTTCTT